ACTGGAATGGTGCCCTCCCTGGGAGTTGGTGCACTATGCAAACTGCGTATTCTGCGTATAGGGAGCAGCGGTACTGATTCATAAAATCTTCCGATCCTTCAAGAAATGCCTCAATGCTTGTCAAGTATTCGGTGGATAAAAATAAATCTCAAGACGAAACGCGTCACAAGTTATTCCCTCACTCAGCTCCTGCGGCTTTAGTTAGTTTTTAGGCCGCTACACTCTCAGTGCCCCACAACCATACACCCTAAGACTCTGTATAATTATTAACATACAAGAGCAAAGTCATGGTTGAGATCAATCAATAAAATGTCCAGGTAAAAGGTATCTATTTATTTATCTTAAAAATATTTTGTTGTAAGATTATTTCTGAATGTGTTGATGACATGACATTTCTAGCAGTGCAAGATCATTATTAGGCTATGCATGCAAGTTTAGAAAAACATATTAAAGGGGTCATATGATGTTGCTAAAAAGAACATTATTTTGTGTATTTGGTGTAATGAAATGTGTTTATGCGATTTAAGGTTCAAAAAACACATTATTTTCTACATACTGTACATTATTGTTTCTCCTCTATGCCCCGCCTTTCTGAAACGCGTCGATTTTTACAAAGCTCATTGTTCTGAAAAGCGAGGTGTGCTCTGATTGGCCAGCTATCCAGTGCGTTGTGATTGGCCGAATACCTCAAGCGTGTGACGGAAATGTTATGCCCCTTACCATATTGTGATGCCGTCCGGCCGGAGCGACAAGACATAAACATGAAAACCCATTATAAACGAGGCATTCGTTGCATCCAGTGGGGATATAATTACGGATTATAATGACTTATACTGTCTTTTTACGCGTTGCTTTGCATCGCACTGTGTAAACATAAAACCATGTCTGCATTTGTGATCGGAGAAATGACAAACAACAACCGCTAATACACTGCTCTAAACTTGCTTTTGAATCGTCAGTGGCAAATTCTTTATATATAAAAAACGTACTTACATTCTGTGAGTCAGAACAGCCGGCATTGTAGTCTACTCTACCAGGATCAGGAAACAGTCCTCCATAAAATGCGCAGCACACATCTCAATATTTGGGTTGAACTGTTCTGGAACAGTGTTGTAAATACAACTTAACCACTGATTTCTAGTCGTGTCCTCTTTTGGAAGACCAAACAAAGTAGTTTCACATGGCGGGCTAGAGTGAGCGGAGAATAAAAGTTACGCCTTCTTTCTTTGCGTGAACATTTGGGCGGCGTTATGCAAATCTTCCCACATCGTGACGTAGACATGTGGGGGCATGTTAGAACGAGCCGTTTTAGGTAGGCATGGTTGACTCTTAACTTTTATAAAGAATATCTAATTGGATTTGAGACTTTAGTCTTTCAAGTTTCAAGTTTTAGTCCCTCAAGTTTCAAGGTTTCTAGGTTACTAGAATAATGTACTTTTTTAATCTAACTTGTATTAAACTTACAATTAAACGTACCATATTGATATAAAAAGAGCAAAGAGAAACAAAATATATATATATATCAACATCATAAAATGCTTTAAATATTACATTAAACCAGGATTTTCCAAACTGCGCTTAATGCAAGAACTGCAGTTTGAGAGTTGATAAAAAAGCTAATAATTAATTAAATCATAAAAATATAAAAAAATTATTTAAACACTTGAACACTAAAAATATAAATATTTAATTTGTTTACCGGCATGTCAAGTGACATCAAACTGTAAACATGCGAATGTGTTGTTAAATTACTGAAATATTAACTTTCTCAGATATTTCAAGTAAATATCTCATGTCAAAGGGGTTTGGCTAACAAAAATGTTTGGGAATCCCTGCATTACATGAACAAACTTTAATAAACATGAAAATAACATGACATTAAATGTCCAAAGTCTTCCAGGTTAGAACTATATTGTTCAGACTTTCAGAATCAAAAGTTACTGAAGATTGGATATGATGAAGACAGAGTGTCTTACAGCTATACATCACCAGTAACTTGCATAATTCTTTGTTTCATACATGGTCTAATTGCTTGAGAGGTGCTTTTTTCACCCAAATTCAGAAGCATGGTTTGCAAATTTATTTACATGACCATTCTATATTGTGAATATAGTCAAAGCTAAATGGTATGACACACAGTAGGATTTTTTAGAGGAAAATGTAAAACAGAAAGAAGAATTAGGGAAAATCAATCAATTATGAATGATTTACTGCCATTGTGTGAATAATATGCAATCATGTAATCCATAAAAAAGAAACTGTAATCTGATTATGAGCATTATAAAGTGTAATATACACTAATAACGAGTACTTGATTTTTGGAATCTGATTACATAATACAGATTACATGTAATCAGTTACTACCCAGCTCTATTCATTGCACACAAGATTCTTTACAGTGGAAAAAAGTTCTTGAGATTATTCAAATATTCTTTACACTAAGAAAATGGTTCTTCTATAGCATAGCTGCGACAACACACTTTTGGAACCTTTATTTTTAAGAGTATGTGATAGTAGAGCGTATTCATCAATAACGTCTAAACAATCACACTTGCAAACATTTATACTCAAATACAAAATGGTTCAGATGATCCCACTTTTCCCCAATTCAAAATGGTCTAACGCTTCTTCTTCTGTAAAGTTACAGCAAGTTGCTTTCTGAAGTATAGATTTGCCTAATCTGATTACAGATCATTGGATTGTCAGTGTGCCATAAAAAGTGCTCTAGAGGAGAGAGAGCCGCTGTCCGGCCAACAATGGGCGTCTCTCCAGCAAGCGATGCACCTGCCTGCACTCCAAGCAGCTCTCCTGTCTCGCACAGATAACACTTTCTACCCTCTCTTCCATGTTTCCTTTATTTTTAGGGGAGCAAATATAAGGATTTATGACCCCTCCAGCCTCCTCTTTTGGAGACAGGGTTTCAGACAGAGTGGGAAAAATTTAGCATGCAGCATGTGAATTGGTTTAGACGTATAAAGAGATCAGGGCTAATCGGTTGGCACCAGAGACACTTCTGCATTCAGCCTCCTTTCGGGGAGGGCAACGGAGCGCGGGAGTGAATGCATGTGAGAGAGGGAGGGAGGGAGAAGCCCATGATCTGCTCCATTGTGATAACAGATTTAGGCAGAGTGTGGGGTTCCGATAAGGAAAAGCACACTCAATAGCAGATTAGCCGCATACTTGGAGTAGAACAGTGAAGGAGAGGAGGACACTTGGAAAGAAGAGGAGATGTGTTAGTCATGCTGATATAGATTTTGTTTATTATTTATTATTGTTACTCCCTTTTCATCAAATTAACATTTGCTTTATCAGTTGCTGTGTGACAGAGCTCGAGTCCGATATATCAAATTTATTTATATAGCACTTTTCACTATATACAAAACGTTTCAAATCAGCTTTACAGAAAATCATGTTAATGTTGCATTTAGTGGATTAGAGCTGGGCAAACACATAGTTTACATCTTGCAACGATACAAGCAATCAAGCTGTTGAGATTTGTTATATAGTATATATTTCCCTACATGAGTATATTGTATGTATGTGGGAAAAGTTGGGCATTTTTATATATCCAACTTTATAAAGAGAGCTTGGTAATAGTATAGGTTACATTGCATTGATGACAGCAATCAAGCAATTGAAATTTGCAATTTAGTAGGCTATGTATCGTTCTAAGTGAGTGTATAATGTATTTATGCAGATAAAGTTGGACATTTTTATACATCCAACTTAAAAGCTGGGTGATAATATTTGCAATGAAATGAAAAAATCAAGCAATTGAGATTTGCAATATAGTATACAGTATATTGCTCTAAGTTGTAAGTATGCGGATAAAGTTAGATATGTTCACATATCCACCTATATATAAAGCTTGCCAATAATATAATCTACATAATATATTGACCTAATTGAGTATACTGTATGTATGAGGATAAAGTTGGATATTTTTATATATCCAAAAGAGCTGGCCGATAATATTTTGCAACACAATTAAAAAACCAGGCAGTTGAATTGGATGCTGGATTGCTGTTGGATGTAATATACAACCCACTAGAGCTGCGAGATAATGCAGTTTACAGTATATATTCTTGATTATGCTAATATTGTTAGTAGATGTTAGTGGTTGTTGAACATTATCTAAACCGGAAGACTCTAAATAAGTATTAGCAACCGTTCACACACTTGCCAGATGAGCTTTGCTTTTCTGTGTTTGGTTTTAGGATCACAAAGTTGCCTTTTTTGTGTTTGCGGTTGTGATTGTGTGTTGTGTTAAATGGTGATTAGTAGAGTGGGTCGGTCAGCTGCTGATTTCAAACGGGTAAAGTGGTATGAACAGCTGCCCATAAACTCACTCTTCCTCTGTGATGATGATTTTAACATGGATAAATGAGATTTTAAAAAGTATTTTTTACACTTTAGGTCAAACGTGGTCTAAAGACTAGAGTGATCCAAACAGAAATGTATAGATATATAATAGATAATATGATAGATATGCTTATTTGCAGTGTTATATGCATTTATCCAAAATCATCTCATAATAGGTTGAATGTCATGGCCAGAACACGCGTCGTTCTACCAGGCTTCTGAACTGTCGCAGCTGGACCCGGGCGAGGGCGGGTCGGTGTCGCTGGTCCAGGTGCGGTCGGTGCGCAGCTTCTGCATGTTCCCTGTGATCAGCGTGAGGAGCGCGGCTTGCGAGTGAGCTGACGGCTCTTCGCCTTGGCTCTCCAGCAGAGTCACCAAGAAGTTGATGTAGCGCATGGCCAGCCGCAGGATCTCGTTCTTGCTGAGTTTTTTCTCGGGCGGGTGTGTGGGGATGAGTTTCCGCAGCTCTGTGAAAGCTGTGTTGACATTATGTTGGCGCCAGCGCTCGCGTGTGTTGGTGAACACCTTCCTGGTCATGATACTGCAGTACTTCTGCAAAAAAAAAAAAAAATAGACGGTCATGCCATTATCTGAAAATGAGCATGGGGAAAAATGAAAAGGATTTTGTTAATAGTTAAGTACAAACACTTACCACTTTCTGTTGTCTTGAAGCTCTATGAACGTTGGAGCATCAGGCACAAATTGAAAAATAGTCCCGACATCAAGTGAAAGCAGCACGGAGCAGAGTGTTTAGGAAAGATAAAGTGCTGTCAGGTAATTGCAGAAGTAATAAATCAGCATCCGTCCTCTCACTCTCAGCTATCTGACACTCTCAGAACCCTCGACTCCTCAGATGGAAAACAGGGTGAAAGAGAGCGAGGATGTGAGGGAGGAGTGGGGTTTGGGTTGTGCTTCTCATTTTTATAGTCATGCTGATGTGTGACGATGCAGGGTGTGAGCGGGGGGGGTGGGATTTTTACATCTGCCATTAATGCGTTTAAATTGATTAACATAATGCGCTGCGTTTCCATTCACAGCTATAGCATCTGGGGGTCTAAATACAAAGAAATCCAACTTTTTACCAACTGAACATGAAAAACAAACTGCAGTCTACTGTTTAAACTAAGCAGGGTACATTAATTTCATATAAAAAGCTTTTGTATGCAGCATGCCCTGCGCTTAATCTTCAATTCACAGCAAAAACTCAAACACTCTTAATATAAATAAAAATACTATAAATATGCTATATAGCATATTTTTTATAATTATAACTTAATAATTTTTTAGTATTTAACTTTTATTAATTAATCAAATCTAAATCTTATTATTAGATTACTTATATGTAGATTAAATTACTTTTATCTATAAATTATAAACATACATAGATATACAGTACTAACTAAAACTTAATAGAAACATAAAAAATATGAACATAAAATAGTTAGTGCTTTCAATCGATGAAAAAAATTAAACACACTTTTCCCCGAAATTAATCGTGATTAATCCCACCTAACATTAAAGTTTTTAATTATACTTTTAGATTGCAATAATTTCACATTCAACCTTCAAATTCATGTAGAAACAACGTAAAGACAGTATATTTTTAATATTTGTTTAATGGCATCTTTTTATGAGGCGAGTATCACTGATACCAGAACTACTGATGTCTCTAGGAATTTTTTTCCTTATATGTAACCATTGACTAGCCATTCAACATTACAGTATAATTGAGAGCTAAAAAAATAGACGGTCATGCCATTATCTGAAAATGAGCATGGGGAAAAATGAAAAGGATTTTGTTAATAGTTAAGTACAAACACTTACCACTTTCTGTTGTCTTGAAGCTCTATGAACGTTGGAGCATCAGGCACAAATTGAAAAATAGTCCCGACATCAAGTGAAAGCAGCACGGAGCAGAGTGTTTAGGAAAGATAAAGTGCTGTCAGGTAATTGCAGAAGTAATAAATCAGCATCCGTCCTCTCACTCTCAGCTATCTGACACTCTCAGAACCCTCGACTCCTCAGATGGAAAACAGGGTGAAAGAGAGCGAGGATGTGAGGGAGGAGTGGGGTTTGGGTTGTGCTTCTCATTTTTATAGTCATGCTGATGTGTGACGATGCAGGGTGTGAGCGGGGGGGGTGGGATTTTTACATCTGCCATTAATGCGTTTAAATTGATTAACATAATGCGCTGCGTTTCCATTCACAGCTATAGCATCTGGGGGTCTAAATACAAAGAAATCCAACTTTTTACCAACTGAACATGAAAAACAAACTGCAGTCTACTGTTTAAACTAAGCAGGGTACATTAATTTCATATAAAAAGCTTTTGTATGCAGCATGCCCTGCGCTTAATCTTCAATTCACAGCAAAAACTCAAACACTCTTAATATAAATAAAAATACTATAAATATGCTATATAGCATATTTTTTATAATTATAACTTAATAATTTTTTAGTATTTAACTTTTATTAATTAATCAAATCTAAATCTTATTATTAGATTACTTATATGTAGATTAAATTACTTTTATCTATAAATTATAAACATACATAGATATACAGTACTAACTAAAACTTAATAGAAACATAAAAAATATGAACATAAAATAGTTAGTGCTTTCAATCGATGAAAAAAATTAAACACACTTTTCCCCGAAATTAATCGTGATTAATCCCACCTAACATTAAAGTTTTTAATTATACTTTTAGATTGCAATAATTTCACATTCAACCTTCAAATTCATGTAGAAACAACGTAAAGACAGTATATTTTTAATATTTGTTTAATGGCATCTTTTTATGAGGCGAGTATCACTGATACCAGAACTACTGATGTCTCTAGGAATTTTTTTCCTTATATGTAACCATTGACTAGCCATTCAACATTACAGTATAATTGAGAGCTATCAATTTGAACATTTATTAGACTTTAAAAAAATAACAACTACTAATTTAAGTGAACTTAAAACAATCTTCACATAAACCCTATAATAAATGTCATATTTAGCTACCCGTGCCCTTCAGCAAGTAGGAAATATACATAAATTTAATTAAATTCTAAATTAAATATAGATGAATCCTTAAAGCTCAAAGGTTACTGATGTCCTCTTTTTTCTTTTGTTCTTTGATTAACAGACATCACAGCAGCTGGTTATTAGCTTATTTTGGCTGCTTTAAGAGCGGCCGCTGCTGCTGAACATGACGTGGATCTGACACGCATCGGATTTTCTCAACTCTTTACCTTTTTCTCACTCACTTCAGGTCTTAAAGTCTCTACTAAAGAGTAGACGAGTTGAATGGGGTGTGTTAGATGAGAGAGACAGTGCTGCTGCTCCAGGACAGTTTTCAGAGACATGTTCTTAAATGTGACTCATATATATATAACAAATACTTTCATACATGCACATATTTAAGGCAGCTTTAAAGGCAGGGTATGTGATTTTTCAAAAACACTTTAGAAATGGGATTTGTTGCGTCGCGCCGCTCACGTCCGTAGACACGGTGTAACATTGGTTTTGCTTTGTTTCACAGAACTAATCGTTGCCTGGGTTGCGTACGTATATGTGGGGCGGAGCTATCAAAATAGGGGCAAGACCCTTTTGGGGTAGGGGCATGTTTGTTTTGGTGATTTCAAATATCAACATTGGCTACCAGAAATCACTTACTCTGCCTTTAATCGCCTTTTTGGTAACTTCATGACTTAACTGACGACATAACTACGACATTGCATGCTTGTAGTTTCTTTCGCACTTTAATACGAAATGTGTTATTTGCTTTAAATATTTTCAATGCGTTAAACTGAAAAAAATAATCACGTGTTAAAGCGGTAATTTTGACAGCACTAAAAATAGTGTTAATAACACACTATTATAAAAAAATATTTTAAGTTTAAAATATACTAATATCATTTTATATACTTGTATTTAAATTCTATTATTTTTATAATTCATATTTTAATTTAAAATAAAAAAATAGGCAAATAAAAAAATAGATATACTTTACAGTAGCCTGCCAGTCATATTAATACATGGATTAAACAGGTAAGAAAAAATAAAATGAAGCCCATCCCAGAGGTATAATCCATCTCACCAAAATGTCAAGCTTCGTTAGTTTGGACAAATATTTTAGTTTTTGATGTTCTCATTTTAATCCACCAAATAATGTCAATATATTTAGCATATTTTCCACTCTCTTTAAAAGTCAGCTTATACTGTACAGCTTCACATTGCACATCTTTTCTAATAAATTTAATGGCACTTAATGAAGCGAATGAACCAGCAGATACCACTTTTTACTGTTGAGAGTTGATTCATAATCTTAAACCCTTCCACATTCAAACCATCGGGAAACAACAGAAAGGACGGACAATTCAAAGCAGACTTATTGCCTATGAGCTCTAACAAATACGTGGCTGTTGTACAAAATGTGCTTCCCGCTTTTGTTGGGATGCTGGATGTCCACCTGCTAACAGATCTATTACAGCGACTCTGTCCAATAGTGAAGTGACATCATAATGAAAACCTTCCTCTGATTGGACAACACGGTGCCAAAATACCCCACAGCATATTCACCCTGACAGAGTAATAATATGGGTTTTGTCTGAATGATGGTAATCTTGTTTAGAATGTCCTGGGGCTTCACATAAATTACACTAGGTTATGACAGAGGCAAGCTTGTGGATCAACACATTCTTCGGGGGCCAAGGTCTCCGAAGCCCCCTCTCGCTCTCTCCCGAACTCTCAACCTCCCTTCAGATCAAAAGCTGGTGTCTCGCTGCAGCAATTGTTGATTTAAAAGTCTCTCTGAGAATTGTGGGGGATTTGCATAATGGGATTATGGAGGGATTAGGATTCAGGCAGAGGACAGACACAGTTAGGATGGAGCTGAATTCACGACTCCATTCATACAGACTCAACCGCTCAACACACCCTGCACCTGCAGAGCTGCCTTTCAGATCTGCCAAAAACTTCAGCAGCACGCAAACCTGCCCGAAACAAAACTCTCACCCAATCCACACTCAAACTTTCAGCCTACCTGAGCTCCGGTTTCCCACTGCAAAGAAACGCCACGCAGTTGTTTCTCCAAGACAGCGATGCAACTAAACGAAGACTTCTGCAGCTCAGATGTTTCTCCTGTGAAAAACACTCCAGCAATCTCTCAAGATTTGGTCAAAAGTCTGCAATCAAAAATTTGTATTTGTCAAAAAAGTTGTATTTGTCAATTTGAATTCAAATATTTCAAAGACCAAATGAGCTATGCAATCCAAATTAACTGTATCAAATGCGTCTGTTTTCATTTTAAGGAATTCCACAACAAAACTGGTATTTACATGAATTAAACATAACTAAATTGAAATTTGCTTGTTTTAAATAAAATAAAAATATATATTTAAATTGCGAATACATACAGTATATTATTATATTATTACTATAATAGAAAATGAGAAATACAAATTTGCTTTAAAATAATATATACACTATTAAAAATGTATTTTAAATGTATTTTAAAATGCTTTTAAATGCTAATTTAAAAAATGTTCATTATATTTAAAATAAAAAAAGATGTATATTTTAAATATATACAGTATATTATTTGTATGAAAAATGTAATATGAGAAATACCATTTGGATTTAAAAATAATTATATATATATAATTATTTTTAAATCCAAATGGTATTTCTCATATTACATTTTTCATACAAATAATATACTGTATATATTTAAAATATACATCTTTTTTTATTTTAAATATATACATTATTTTATTATGTTATTTGTATGATGTATATAAATAAAACATGGAAACAAAAAGCGAATCAAACTAAAATAAATTTGACTGCAAAAGTAACTTACTGTAGGGCAAGTGGTTTGAGCAGATCACCTCAGCAAGGACCAGTTAAATGCAGAAACCTTCCCCAACTGTTCTTATTTGAGCATTTAGTTGAC